CGATTATTAACTATGTTTGGCACGCTTTGTAGTTATTAATCGTAAGGTTGTCAATTTCTCCAGTAAAGCTAACTCAAAAGCTAACGGCCGCCATTACAGAAAAGAAAACAAACTCACAGTCTGTTTTTCAAGGTCACTGTTTTCACAAAAATACATCGCAAAAAACTTTTTGAGAGGTCAAAGTTTCCATTCAGCTTCTTTTTTGATCGATTTTTTCTCTAAGAAAGCTAGATTCTTTCGCTCTATTTTTGCGATAAGCTAACATCGCGAGCGGCCGGCCTCGGTGAGTTTGCTGTGCACGAAATTATGATAACCGATGTCAAAAAAAGTGAAGTGTTAATCCACATTTTTCAGTTCAAATTACTCTTCCTTTGAATTTTAACTTGGAGACAGACATCTTAATTCTTCCCAAACGTAACGACAATGAATTAGTGCAGAATAACTCGCTATCGCAGTTTTTTTCTTGCTTAAATCTTTGACAATTTCAACGCGTGTTGGTAAACACTGGCGTGAATTACACTTGCCGTGAGAAATTTTATTATTGTTGACCAAAGTCCTGGACAAAATAATGGTTTTCAATTTTAGTTCAACTCAAAAGCTTTCACTACTGTTTTTTTAATGCCAGAGGAACAGCTTTAGAGATACGTCTCTAGACTCAAAATCTGAAAATAAATATCGATCAGATTTGTATTTTGGAGACTCACGAGCTTGCCTTTTTTGTCTGCAATCACACGAGCGGAAGCGGCAATTTTATGTCTTTCATCTCGTGATAAAATACCAGCTGAAAGCTTCCAATTCGATTGGAAAGAGAACATTTTCTACAAACTAGAAAAATATGTGCAACCAGACTGCATGACGACTAACCAAGCTAGTCAAACCGAATTATCAAAGCGCCATGATGAGATGGCGAGAAGCGCTCATTCACGCAATTGAAACCTGAGAACACGACTCGCAGAATCATGGAGAAAATTACCTTCAGCATTTTCCAAAACGAAGACTAGAATAAAAAACTATATTTTCGAAAAACAGATTCATATTCACGGCCAGACAAAGCTGGAATAATACGGATTTCTTACAAGACAGCTTTTATACGCACTGTATTGAGCGTTGAAAAGTTTACTCCAGTTTGAAATTTGATAGCATACAGTCTGATCTGGGAAAAAACACTTTAATATCGTCTGCGGGACAAAAATTCACATAATTTTAAGTAAAATCTGTTATGTTATTGTTTAATGTTTGACTCACTAAACCGTTCAGAAATACTTTCAGAAAACAGTACTTGTGTGTTTTGAGAACAACTTTCACTTCCAGAAAAATATTATCCCCGGTCGCGCGCGCGGCATGAAAGATCAATTTTTCCACTGCCGTTCGACCGCAAAAATAATCTTCAATTTGATAATCAAAATAAGAAACCTTTTTAGGATTTAATTTATCCTAACAACACTTTGCCATACGCTGTACTTTTTTAAAAAAAGATCGAAGAGTACTTGGAATACGGTCTACAAAGCTTGTGCAAACTGAAATCAACTATTCCTGTTGTCACGCAACGCGTGAGATTTCTCTCCCTCATTTCACATGTGGTATGATTTAAAGAAAAGGTAAAAGAACGAACTCTTATCAGGTTTAGTCGTACGGAATAATAACTAATGAGTAAGACTACAGTGCTTTCTCTTTCTTGTTGAAAACTTTTACCGAGGCAGCGAGTTGAAAATCACACGCGGATTGCAGACAGATTTGAGAACCAAACCATCAAAGTTTTAGCGCCGAATCGGTGTTTTCGCGGGAATCAGTCAAGCAGAGTAAATAACACAAACAAAAGTGTTTAAATTGCTACCTGTTTAATTAACGACAAAAGAAGATTAACGATCTAGAATCACCTCTTTGACTAAAAATTCAAGATAAGGCGCTAAAAGTCAGAAGAAAACTAACTCACCTAAATCGATGTTCCCCAGCGTTCAGCAACTGCAGAATTATAAAACTTTTGTGAAAAGTCCTGGTCTTTAAACTCTAATTAAAAAGGCAACTGTCTCTTTGATTTCTTGAATCATATTTCAGTGTCAAGTAGTATAGAACTTGGTTCCGTGATTTAAGCTTTATACATACTCCAGGTTTTTCTTCAGTTCTTGCAATAAATCCGGCTGTTAATAATTTTAAGACTGAGGCTTAAATAAAGAGTTTGAGTTTCACCAAAAGCCTTGACACAAGTAATTCTGTTCGAACGTCTAACGAGAGGATGATTATCGGATCGTCTTCATGAGGAGAAGCAATAAACGTGCTGCACAAAAAGCCTACGCCAGTCCACTCCAGTAAAGAACTTGATAATACAGTTATTTCAAACCACATAGAGTAAGAAACTCGCTGAAGAAAAAGTGCATTTATCCGCGGTAGGCAAGCTTTTGCAAACAATTGTTGATGCTTCGATTGAGTTTAACGTGCCTCTCCCTCGCGCGCTGTTGGAAAATTTTCGTTGATCGCGCCACAAATGCTTCAACACTTTTCCTAGCGTCCGTTCCCTTCTTTCACTGAAGGCCGAGGTCAAAACAAAGTTGATGAGCTGTCAAAATGTGTCCAATCACAGGGCTGGCTGTCAATCAGCTACTGCAAGTCAAAGTGACTCAAGCCCAGGCAAGTGAACTACAATACGATTATTAATCGTATTTCATTTGTCTCGCAGGCTCTGTACCTATAATCTTGATGAGGTTGGCAGTCATAATTGTTAATCGTAAATGACACACGTGCCTTTACGTGAACCTACAATACAACGAGACAGAAGCTAAACTAGGAACAAGTTTTCAGTTTGTCGAATAAATAATAACTACGTCTCTGAAGCTGATGAAATAACTTCAGAGTTTTAACAAATTTTACAAAAAAACAGTCTCTTAAAACAGTCAATTCTGTTTGAGCGCCCAGGAAAGGAATGGTTATCGGATTTTATCTTCTTACGACTAAGGGGAAACTGATGCTCACCTGGCTCAGTGAACGCACGCTGATAAAAGGCTATAAATTCGGTACCGTTCAATTAACTGGGGCCCAAGACCTAATAGATTGACTTGTTATAAAGTTTTTGTTGACCGCCCTATTCACTTATAGCCTATCAGATTTTCTACCGTCCGTTGCGGGTTAAAAGAGTATCCAGGAGTCACAGTGGTGGTTGGTGATCATTCTATTGACCTCAGTCAAAATCGTATTAAATTTGGCGTAAGGCCCTCTGTACACTGTACAGGAATACATGTGTACATCATGAGAACTTTGGAAGAGTTCTAACCATTCTAAACTTCACCACTCAGTTACAACATTTTCCACACCCGTTTTCATACCAGACCTCTAAAATTCAAACCCGCTTTCAGACCTGGCCTTCGGGCAGAAATTATGTCGTCATTTCCTAGATTAGAGCGCACCAAGAAATTTCTAATTTGCATATTTGTAATTCGTTCTTATCAATTTGGATGAAACGATAAATATTTTTTTACTCTCCTAGTTCCCTCGAAAACCATATCCGATTCTAGAGCAAAACGGCGTAAAAACCCTTCCCAATGGGGCGGAACATACCCACATGGTTTATATAGCGGAGTACCCTGCCCCCGGGAATTTGTAATCAATATTTGAATTAACGAAATTAACCATATCCTTTTCTTTTCAGCGTTTTATAGAACCTATATATCCAGGAAGCTGTAGACATAAGAGTACAGGAAGATATCGAGAACGATAGACAATACAGAAAGACAAGAAGAGCCAAAACTCTGTAGATTAGTCACGTTTTTAAGCGTATTACATGTAGTAGTTGGCAGTGACGGATCCAAAACAAACAAAGCATGCAGGCTTATGCTGCGCACCCATCCCAACCCAATCTTAGCAGAGGCTCACCCAGCTCCTTCTTTAAAGTATCAATAGCGCAGAATAACGAGATACAAGGCGTCTATTCCTGCTCTGTAAAGTCCATCTATTCTGCGAACTGCTCCGGTACGGTCGAGTGCACTCACTCAATAAATTCTTACACTGAAAAGAACTTTACTCTGTCAATCATGTCAGGAAATCACATCCCACGTGGGTCATACTGACATCATACACTGACGGGTTTTCTCATTGGTTCAGGGTTGTCTCGGATGTCAAATCTCAGGACGTCAAGTGTAAACAAATCAATCGCTCTTACAACATTCGCATGTCGCGCAGCCAATATCCTTGCCATACGGGGAACAGAACCTCGTTCCCAGGTACTCTGGGGAATTGTTGGTGGGACCCACCAACAATTCCCGGGATGTACCGCTCGGTTCTTCATATCCTAACCCAATTTCAGACCAAAAGGTGTCATTTTCCACACCCGTTTTTCGACAAAAAATTCAAACCCGTTTTCAGACCTGCCCTTTAGGCAGAAATATTATTATTGCTTCAAAGGTTGCGAGGGACAAAATAAAGGGAGACAAGCCCCGGACTTAAACGATTTATACTTAATAATTTGTATTCAATACCCAAGACATTTGTACATGTGATTGTTTATTTCTATAGATACAGATACAGATTCCCTTAATTTAATTTTTAGTGATGAACTCAACGCGAATTCTTCAACAAGTTGAGAGCTATTTGAAGACGCAAATTGTTGACTTCATCCTGAGCAGGAGAGAAAAAACAAAAACAAATGTGACTTGTAATTACGCTAAGTGGAAAACTTGAATTGTTTTTAGCAGAAGTTGTCTTAAACTTAAAACCGCATGCAAATTTTAGATCTTCACAGGTTCTACAACAACTGGCTCCAATTCTTTAATTTCTACGACAGCACTTAGTAATAAGCGTAATAGGCTGAACGACACTTTTTACAAAACCTCCTGAACATACCAGAAATTATGTAGCAACAATAAATATCCAGTTTTGATGTTTGTGCCTGAGATTTACCCCAAATGTACACTTAGTTGAGATTTAAAGAAGACTAAATAATAACAAGACAAGATGTTATTTTTTATGGCCGCTAAAGATTTGGAAAACCGTATTATAATGAAATACAAGTTTTAATGATATTTTACCTGTGAAATGAAGGGCTTCTTTTCCTCTACGACGAATTCAGCCACCTGCAAGAAGAAACCAACAAAACTGTGCTCGCTATTACTTTCTCGCTTAGAAACTGAGAAACAATTGGTGTTTGAGCCCACCTTTATGACATAAACTCCACAACTTTGCCCGTCACACTGTTGCGGCGTTGTTGGCGAGATGTTTTTCCAAGAGGGCACGTCCATATTATCTGCCGCCATTATTTTCCTGTGGAAGTTTAACACGCACACAAAAAAAAATCGTATGCATTCCTTCAAAAAAATAGAAAATAACAAAAACAACACACTTCTGCGGTGGGGGGCTATTATAAACGGAGTTTATACCTCATGCAGCTGAAAAAAAGCTCTCCACTCGTCGTCGACTTTCCTTGTTTTTCCGACTTGCTGTCGTAGTGAAGAAGCTCTTTTTGTTTTACGTTAACAACCTTTATAGAAGTAAAATGTAAAGAAACATTTGTGAACAAATGTACTCTTTCCCGGGAAATATCAGAATTATTGTTTTGCTTTGTACTTTAATTCTTAAAGAGTAGGCGGAGCGGGCGAGAAACTGTTGTTGATGTAGTTACTTTTATTGATTCTTGTCAGGGGCCCATGGAGTTATGGGCTCCTGTTCTCGTACAAGAGAGGTTTCACCTTCACAAAATAGGGGCCAATTACATACTAGGTAGTTGCATATTATTCAGTGGTACCGTCTTGTAAATAGATAACAGAAGTCATACCCCAAGCGTCCAATGACTGGCATGGCACATAGGTAGTAAAACCAAGTCTTGATTTGAAAAGTCAATCTGAAAAAGAGGGGTATAGTCAGTTATTTACTATATTTTGCGCAAGAAACTGTTAGCCCTTCGTTTCATGAACTAATAGTGGTTAGAGTGCGAAAAGGCCAAACTATTAGTTTCTTCCCAGAAATCATTTTTCACTTTCAACCTGCCTTTTTCATCCACTTCCATGACTTCAACTGAGAGAGCTCTTCTGATGTCCTTATTTTTTCTATTACGAAAGATTCCGCGGCAAAGACTTTTATACCCTGGTTAAAAGATGGTAAACAACACGTTAACTTTTCTCAGATTTACTTTCAGTAATACTAACAAGTGCAAAATGATGAAAAATTATGGGCGGATATCTTTAGTGGCAGAAGGTTAAGGAGGAAGCGATACTCTCCGACGCGAAGCGCGAGCTAGAACTAACCTTTTTCTGTTATACCCTCTCCCTCTGTTCCCTAAAGCAGATGCCACTCATAGTACAGTATTTCTCTTGACTTACCATCTTCCTACTAGAAACCTCTAACAGCTTTAGGCTTGCATTTACTACCTAGTTTTGTCAAGAAGATAGAAACAGATTTTTTTTTAATTTTAGTAAAATAAAGCATATAGTGAGTCAATTCCGAACCAAATTTTGCTCTCTAACGTAACCAAAAATAGGTAATAATTACCCACCAAAACATTTCTCTTTTTCTTATACCCTGAATGGAGTTAAAATACTTAAAAACCGTACCTTGTCGTTAAGCCAACCAACTTCCCTGAAGCGGAGAGAAAACTTTTTCATCATCTCGATCTCTTCTGCACTCATCGATGGTTGGATTGTTTTAAAGTCGCCAACAAGGATTTCGTCTACGCCAACTCGGCACACCACTTCAGAAAGGTCGGAGTGCGCGTTTATATTCCAGTAGGATTCTACCTGGTAACCATTTCAAAATAAAATAATTTAAAGTAAAATATCTTTGTAAGTCTCACCATACTTTTTCTCTGCTTTGTATGCCTTGGCCTAATCCACCGAACAGCTTGAGAAAATAAATAAATAAAGTGATTAGCTGAGAAAATAGGATGGATCACTACCTTCTTTTTCAAACGAAGTGTCTTCCAAAACTCCTCATGCTTTTTCCTTATCTCTTTTTCGCGAAGAACCTCAGGAGCACCCAACGAGAATATAGTTCAAAACCACTTAAACATAGCATTGTTAAACGTATTTTAGTATTTAAAGGGAGGATATGGGCATATTTTTATCCCCTATAAATTTTTCATCTGTTCGGATTTCCTAGCTGAAAGTCTGGTGATCCAAAAATTATAGGGATCAAACCTTACCTGTTCGAAAATTTCAGCCAGAAAAAAGGCTCCCGAAAATTCTAGGTGACCTTTTTAGGGTAAAAATCCGTTGAAAATGGGCAATTTTACCTTTTCTTAGATGTTCGAAAATCCTAGGAAAGGCAGGCAAGCAAGAAATTTTACAACAAATGTTTCGAAAATTCTAGATCTCAAATCGTCTTCCGAACAGATATTTTTCCGAAAATTGTCGTAGCGTGCCCCTGGAACCTCGTAGCGACCAATCCCTTTCCATTGCACATCCACGTTACGCATAAAAACGATGTCTTTTTCCGTTTCCTCGTCTCTTTTTTTTAGTTGAAAGAAACCATCCGCCTTTTTCTCTAAAAATTGTATCCTGATGGCCCGTTTATCTTCTTTCACCACCCGGCCAATGTACCGCAGGTCTCTGCCATAACTAACAGCTACCCACTCCTCTGGTGTCTGTTACGTAGTACATGAACAGAACGAAGAAAGGAAAGAAATATTTATCAAATCGGTTGTTGCTTAACACCAGATCTCTCTCAACAGTATTTACTTTGCACACACGAGTAACAGCCTCCCTAATATATTATATAATTAGCCAGTCAACATACAATGGTGGAAGTAAGGAATTTGTGCAGATTGACCTTTTTAATTTCCACTTTTTTCCCCTTTGTGCTGGCGTTAAGCTCGGATCTCTTTTGCTGTCACTAGTCCTGTAAAGTTCCCACACGCCTTTTGTTACAAGCTTTAATTTTTGTCTCCCGATGAAATGCTTCGAGTGCCTTTATTCGCCTCAAATACACGGAAAAACGATCACTGAAGATGATGTACAAAAATCCCGTAATCTCTTCACACTATGCAAGCAATTAGTTGTAAGTAATTTGACTAGAGTCACCTTTAGTTCCGCTCGTTTTTCTTCTTCTCCTGACAAAAATGCCGGTTCCTTTTTTTCGTTATCCTGCAAAGTTTACATAGGAATATATTTTTCATAAAACTGTTATTTTTCTACTGTATTTAACATATTCTCCCCAGATACTGAGTGTCAACGATGAAACGATTTCTATAATTCGAGTATACAAAAAAGAAAATGCTGCGATCTCATCACACCAAGCAATAGGATTGGAACGTTGGGCAATGCATCCTTTTTAAGACAAAGATCCGTGTTAGTGGTCTGTACAATTACAGAAGCAAGGGAGCGGTTTACTTACGCTAATAATCTCCACCTTCACATGACAGACTAGTTGTTCACAAGACACATTTTTTACGGCTCTTGATGGCTATATATGTTTGTGCTGAAAACTACATTCATCTTAAGCAAGTCAGATACAAAGATTGAGAAAGCAAGTGCAATATTATGATTGATTTACAATTAATTTATTTGATGTGCCATTTTTATGCACCAGCCCCAAGCCTATCAAAACAGTGGAGGTTCTGACAACTGTGCACCTTTTTACAATACAACCTTAACGTGAACTATTCACTTTAATTTGTCCAAATGATTACTTAATGAATTCAATACACTGTAAATATATTACCTGAACCTCATTTAAAGTCAGATCACCATCAACTGTTTCTGCAGGTAATGGTATTTCCTCATCTTCTTTGATATATTTTGTATTCAGTTGTAACAATGAGTACATGCCTTAAAAGGAAGGGAAATTTTCAACGAATAAAACTTTTAGCACTAAGTGCTGACATAATCAAGGCACCTGTCATTTGTTAACAGTTTGCACACCTGATCTTTGTTACACAGCAACATAAGCTGCGCAAGACATTAGATCCCTTAACATTTGTTACGTCAGCACAGCCAACATGATGCTGGATCCTCAAGAGCTACCGTAACTACTACGTATTTACTTAAATTTGATCTACAGTCGAATGATAGAGTGGTTTTCACTTCAGTAATTTGCATTCGCTTTGGTTTTGCATTACTACGCTTTTGGATTGGTTTGAAAAACTCACACCACTTTCTCAGTCAATCCAAAGTATAACCAAAACCAATAGTGACTAGCTAGTGTACATTTTCCCGTGCTCCACATCACCTTCATGTAGTTGCTTAGAGTTCTGATTGGTTTATTAGATTGTCTGTGTTCACTGTGATCATTGGCTAGAGTAATATTATTACTTTGGTTTTGGTTTACAACACTCAATTGAAAACTGCTCTAATTTCATTGTCATCGTCAACATTACCAGCTTTATCAGACTCATCATCTGGCCCAACAAAAATGGCTTTGGCCAATTTTAATCACTTCTCTGCAGACTTGGACACAAAGACTTCTTCTCTAAAAATTAATGGAAGAAAATGAAAAAAAAGTAATATTATATTTACTGAACTAATATTTATTTCGTAGATTATGTGTTTTATATTTCCGGTGGTCTAGTGTATACTTAAGCTGAAAGGAAAACTTACCCACGGGAAAATGCTGATGAATGTGCATCAGGACTTTTTTTGGTACTTGTGTCAGTGCTGCTATCACAGTCAGTGCTATTTTAAAACCACAAATAGAAAGAAACTACATTTTAAAAAAATAAAGGGTATTAGTTTTCGGGTCTTAGGGCTTTTCTCCTGAAAGTCTTAGCTGTACATATAGTTTTGGCAACAACCTCACTGCACTTTCAAAAACCAATTTGAGTTCCAAAGTTTTCATTACCTGTTTTGACTGCATGATGACACAGCCTCTCTTTCTAAAAATTTAGAAATGGACTTCCTACATTGCACTTTTTCATCCGTATTTGCATCCTTATTACTGAAAAAAAATTAAACGTAAGATGGTAAATATACGTACATGTACACTTTTAATCATGACATGTGTGGTGCATAAAAAGGCATGGTAATCTGCAGGTAAAACACAGGACATAAAAAAGCAACAAAATTTAATCACACAGCCAAACAAACAAGCATGAAGAAAATCAAACAAGAACAAAGGCCAACCTCACGTAAACAAGAGGATATCCACTACTTACCCATTCTTTCCCTTTCTCTTTCCCACTTTCACATCATTTCCCAGACGTGTCTTTACTTCATTTTTATGGCCCTTTAATTGTGGGGCGGCTGCATTAACCTGTTTTCAAATCACGAAGGAAACAAATACAATGTTTTATTCGTTTCAAATATTTTCAACTTTTGATTATAAAAAATCTCCTTTTCCTCAGGTCCCAAAAATTGTATAAGTCAATTTTTTTTCTTTTGCTTTCAAGGCTTACAAGTACGCATACATTTGCTGTTTTTAATTAACAAAAGGAAGTTTAGTTGTACTCTGATCAGATAAAGTTAACCATAACAAAGCAGAATGGAAACAACAACAACAACGGATACTGACGTAGGTCTCTATTGAAAAGGGACGTGCTTAAAGACATTGAACACGTTATTTTACTTTCTTTTCTCTATTTAGAAACTGACGTTTACGCTACAAAATCAGATTTAACAAAACAGAAATGAATTGTTTTATTAACTGAAATGTTTTCAATCGAAATCAGGTGTTTTTTAACCGAAAGGAATTGGAAATAGTGCTTTGATTGAATAGTTTTTTTAAGCGAGAATATTTGTAAATATTCACCATTAATAGAATTCTTAACCAATCTTATCAGAGCATGTGAATCTCTACAATCAACCAACATGGGAGGCTTTTTTTTTCTACATCATCACCTTTTAAATCTTATATATTTACAACTACCACATTGATCATGACGAAAGTACAGTAAAAATTTGATAAAGAGGTTGTTATTAATGTTTTATTATTAATAACTATTATTATTTGTAACATTATTATCATCATTATCATCATCATTTACACAATGGACATAACAAAGTTACTTACCTCTGGCTGGCTTTGTTCTTTGCCCTATAACAACAAAATTAAGCGTTAGTCAGGTACATATACTTATGTTATAGATGAAAGCTGTTCTCAATATAGAACTAAATTCATGATACTCGCCATCTTTGCATGCGCTTAAAGACTGATGGGTCAAAAGCGATGTCACATGGTTTCTCAGGAGGGAAACAAATGAAAAAAAGTGCCAATGAAAGGAATCGTGGCTGAGTTTGTTTATTCTAGATAAAAGAAAATGATGAACTTTTCATCTTAAAGACAAGAATGTGAAAATGCAGGTGGAAGTGATCATAACTTTTTTGAAGTGACCATAGATGTCCTTATGTCAAACAGTAATGATGTAAACCTTGCCAAACCTCGATTATAACTTAGTACATTTTGCATGACTAGAAATTGTTGTCTCGAACAAACTCAACTGCGGTTACTTGTATTGTGTAGTTCCAGAAAATATTCATACTTCCCCCCGGGAAAGGATTGAAAATTCCTTGGGGGTGGGGGGTTATCAAAGGCTATTGACTGGAATTTCCAGCGGTTTGGGGGGATGTAAGGACAAAACCCTTCCGTTGGGGAGGTATGGTCATGGATAATTTTTGGAACCACACAGTGGCATGTGGAATTGTTTTGTTGTCCAATCCCTTTATTACTATTAAAAAATTATTAATAATATTTAAAACATAACTTACTGTACGCAGTACGCGATATCTACATTCCAGTTGTTTAAGAAATGATGGAAAAGTGAAATAAATATCATGGCTGAATTTTGATGTATTGGTGACCTTACAGGGTTCCACTGTATTCACGTGTTGTTTTCGTTAAAAGTGGATTTAGCAATAATTGAGATTAAACTCATGTATGTCTGTTGTAGATGTCACTAGGGCTTTGTCACACACTTTCTCCTCCATTTTTATAGTACCTTATTCCTTAGCTCTTGCAACTGTGCACAATGAGCTCTGTGGGCGTTTTTCACTGCCTGAAGAGGGGTCTATATAGACAAACAAAGGTTTTAAAAAACACAATCATGTATCAAACACGCCAAAGCTATTAATCAACAAATGTTAATCAGATTATTTGTGGCTGCAGTGAATCTGCATAACAGGGGAGGGGGGGTACTGCCATATATGGGCCATATAGGCATGTGCTGCTGTGAAGGTTATGGTTTTCAATCAGCTTACTGTGGGATAAGGTATACAAATTACAGAGTTTGGGACTAGAATAGGGATCATTTTCCAGGAAACTGCATGGTCAATATTGATGGATGATTTTAGTCTAGACTACAGGGAAACCGGGAATTGCAACTATATATATATAATATAATCAAATCAGCAAGTTTAAACTTATGCAACTCAGCCTTTAAGCTACTCTTGGATAGGGGAGATTTGGGAAGTTTAGTCTATTACAGGGTAGCAAAATTCAGCTGAGCTAGTTCTGGTATAGGATAAGGGTTCCTAAGGTCCCAGCAGCACATCCACATGACCCAAAAATTCCTAAAGCATCCCCCCGGCTGCATACCCACTCAGTCTTCTATTAAACTGGTGTAGCCACTAAACAATAAGCTACAGACAGTATGAGCAAAAATTAACATATAATGTTGAATTTACTGCCATATTTGACTTCAACATATTGGCTGTGATTTTAATCATTGTACCGGGTATTTGCACCACGGCCCCAAGTCTGATGATTACTATGCTGGAATTTTGTTTTAATTATTATAGTGTTGTTTAAGTGAGTGGTCATATAAGGGGGGGGGGGTAAACTTGTATGAGGAGAGAGGTCTTTAACACTTCTATCTTTTTCTTTTCATCTTTTCTTTAGAAACACCTGATAGTTAATTGCGTTATACATTGAAGTATACAGATTTGCCTCAGAGACATTGTAGAATAAAGTATTATTATAGAAAAAGCAAAAGGGGTAAGGAATGACAATACATGAATTTTGTTTCAGTCTGATATGTTGATACCAAACAATCACACATTAATTAGCACTAAACCACTAACCTGTGATGGTTGTGTATCATCTTTTTCATGAACCACACGAGAACCAACACTCTTTTCACTTTTTGCCTCTGCAAGTTGCTACAAAATAAAAAAATTCATTGGGTAAGAATCAAATATGCTCAAAACACTGCTTGCAATAGCCAAGCACTATGCTACCTTTTGTTAAGGATGCCAAATATCAATTCGTTGTTTGAAAAGTGGGTATTGGAAGTTAACCACCCCTCCCCCCATCCCTTCATGGAAAAATACAGGCTACTCTGAAATTCGAGTACAAATAAAGTTCATGTTATGTTATGTTATGTTATGTTACATTCTGTATCATACCATAAAAGTGCTAAAAGCCTTGCAACAAACAAAGAATTGACAATGTTTAAAAAAAATGCAGTGTAGGATACAAGATGGCAGCATTTTCAATATTTCATTTTGAGGGTCTAATAAAACATGATCCAAAGTATGTCAAAATGGAAACAAGTGCAACTCACTGTACTTTGGAGGAAAGCAATCATCAAATCATGATAAAGAAATTAACACAGTAAATGAAACACCTGCTTGGCCAAACAAAAAAAATGCAAGTTCCAGGAGGCATGAGAGGATAAATACAAACAAGGTTTGATGGAAACAAAAAAAAACATTAAAAATAACATTCTGTGAGTTTTTTTAGGAATGACAAAATATCAAAATGGTAAGAGTGATCAGTAGTTTTGCTGATGGACCAGTAAATTTTAATCCTACTGGTCCTGCAAAGACCAGACCCAACAGTTAATAATTCAAGCACTGATAACCCGAGGTTACATTTTCACCGGGGCTCTTATCAAAAGCACTCTTTTAATTTTTCTATTCTTTTTAGTGTATCCAATCACTGACAAGTTGTAGGCAAGGAGAAATAAACTGAATTTTATTTTTTAGCTCAAGAATGTAAGTTCAAATTTCAAACTAACCCTGAGTTATCTTAACCCATGCTTTCGAACAACCTGGCCCAGGAGAGTATACTGCCTTAATAATAACCACACTTCCACATTTCACACGTAACACACCTTAATATTTAATTTGCCCCCCACAATGTTGTATATATTAACCTTTGTTTTTCATTTCTCCTAAGTATTGCAGCCATCCCAAGAGAAATTGAAAACAATGCTTCTGCAAAATTTTGGGGGGCAAATAAGGTGCATAAAATATGGGAAATGTGGAAGTGGCATAAAGGTACATGTATGTGCCACTCCAAATGGTATGGTTTTGGTTCCGTTTTGGTCTGAAAACGGTTTAGATTTTGCCCATTTTGCTCTGGAATTATATACAGGTCTACTGCGGAACTATGGTGGACCTGGTGTATGAATGTGTTCATTGTTACGATTATAAATTAACAAGAAAGAAAACTTTTTGGTGGTGTTGTTACACCTGTATCTCAGCAATGATGACCACCCAAATAAACATAAAACCAGGTGGCACATGCCCACTAAGAATTTCTAGGAGTATCCCCTCTCCCAGGAATTAAATATGAGAGGATGTCTATTAGATCAGTCACAGTAATTATATGTCGATTGAACAAATTACATTAAAATCGATATTTACCTGTTAATCACAGAAATTGATTTTCAAATTATCACTTCAAGTATCTTATATAAGGAAAATATTCATACCTTTTGCAGAGAAGCATTTTCGTCTTGCAGAAATGTTAGAATACTTTGATTTGCAGCAAAGTTCTAAAAACAATAAACAATCTCATAGTTTATACATCAAACAAATTTGAAGGTTTAAATTCAATTGCCAGTTCAGTATTGACAAATTTACAACAGATACCAAAATATAAAATACTGGAAACAAATAGTTGGTTCTCACCTTTGATAAATTTACGACACACTTTTGGCTGATAAAACAGCAGAAACTTAACATTATTGAAGTGATGTACCAACATAATTTTTGGTAAATTGATACCATTGTACAAAATTTCAGTAACTAATTATGTACAAAAAATTATTTATGATTACCAAAAATGACATTCATGGTGTGGTAAAGCTGCATTAGGTTTCCAGGCAGCATGATTTGCACTCAGGTTAGAGCAGTTTATTTTATCACCTATGAAACGGTGTTTAGTGGTTGGTGATTCACAACCTTTTCTTTATGCAAATAACAGCAGCCTAGGCTGTCTTCATCGACAGAATACTTATGGTGGGTCATCACCCATCCAAAATCCTAACCTCTTAGCCTCTGACATGGCTTAACTTCACTAGATAAACATAGACCTTCACGAGGGATAATGCTATATAATATTTTGTCTATGAAATACTATTAAATACTGCCATTAATATTACCCTTTTTAGCAAATCCATTTCGTTTGTTAGGACCTCGACCATGTGTTTTTCTTTTTCCAGTTCCTAAAAGTAATGCATGGGGTTTAATAAACTATGATGAGCAAAAAGAAACTAATGTATTAGGCAGACACTATTATGAGCATTAATGGTTGACTGCATGGGTAGGGGTGGTGATCTAGAAAGGCAAAATCTTGCAGGTTAGCAACCTCTGACACCTCTGATCACCAGATATTCCACGCAGCCCTGGTTGTCTTATGTTGAGAGTTCTTTGCTAGGTACATATTAAGCTTAAACCACTTTAAATGACTCTGACTTTTAGAGCTTTTGTTTTTGTGAAAAAAAATTGACACCAGTTTTTTTATCGTCTGCCCTCTTGTTGATAGTATTGAAAATAACATCACAACATTGTCAAAGTGTGTTGTGGATACACAACACTTTGAAATGTTATGAAATCATTTAATCATCAATATGAAGACAGACGAAAAAAACTGGCATCAAAAAATTTGTTAATTTTCAAAAGGCTGAACTTTCTTGGAATTAGCTTTTTTCAATGAAGTTTTCTCAGGTAACTTTTATTGTCATTCATTTCAAATGTATGACAGTCTCAAAACAAAGAGAGAGTTTTTAAAGTTCCTTGTTGCCTTCTAATGGTAAAATATTAAAATTATGTGCAGCATAGGTTCATAGTTTATATTGTAAAACCCTGTTCCTTTTCTCCTTTCATTTTTGTAGTTGCTATCGTTGGATGTTTACACTTAGAAGGTCTCCTCTCAGTTTTTTGTGAGACCCAGACCCCCCAGGGTTAGGCATGGACTACCTTGGGCAATACAAAATTTTCCCCGTGTGCATTCACCTTCAAAATCTAAAGCTACATATCCTTGAATTCTAGCTGTAGAAAAGATGTCATGTGGAGATACCTTTTCAACCAAAGTTAGTTCCTTTCTTTGTTTATTTGCATCGGCAAGTTAATTCCTGAAACAAAACCCTATAGATTAGCAAATCTACAAGTACTTCTAGAGTTTGTGAATATTGTTGGCATATTCATGACTATTGACCAAAAGATGGAAAAATTCAGCAAGACATACCTGTAGATTGAGCTCTATATTTAACACTGAACTAGGATGAGTCGATCTTTACTGTCTTTAAAGTACTACTTTTGAAAACAAGCTTGCGTGAAATTGCCCCTCCAAATATAAGCCCACAATTACAAAACAAAAACATAGGCACGTTTAACGTGCATGAGCTATTTTGAATGCTTCAGTGTAACCATAGCCTCCCACGCAGATGCTCATCTTTCATCCCTCCCCCCACAAAGCCAGTCTGCCGGAGATGACCAGCTCAAGTTTAAAACTCTTCTAGGGACTTACTTTTTGCAATTGTTGGATTTTCAGACTTAATTCATGACGTCTTATGTTGGAAGGTTTATCCTGATTATGCAAAGAAAACATTATCATCAATTTTATCACTTCTATATCATATAATTGCAAAACATTCATGACAAACAGGAATAGGGTCCCTACCACAACCAAGTTAAATTTTAGGACTATAACATTAAGTGTATGTAAAAGCATTAATCCCAGTTTAACTAAAGATATACAAGTCCATCACGTCATGAATGTACCTAACAAAATAATTTCATTCACTGTTTGGATGGTTGTTACTGCAAGTGTTAAAGGTAAGCAGCAGACCTCTTTCACACAGGTATCAGTGGTTTAATTAAATCAGATGGTAGCTAGAGGGGAAATGGTGTCATGTCCTTTTTATGCAGTACTAGTTCACTAGCTCATTTTACAACATGCTTCAATTGATTTGCTTCCAACTTTGAACAGTTGTCTATTTCAATGAAGTTACATGTTTACTCTCTTTAAATCTTTGCTTTGTCATTGTACCGGAGTTGCCAGGGTTTTTGTGAAGCTTTGAGGCATTTACAAATGCCACAGATTCTAAATTAAATATATAATGCTCTCGTAAACCATATGGCATGGGAACATTAAATACACTTTTAATTCAAATCAAACCAGGCCACTAGATACTATAATTCTTACAGAACATAGCTAATAGTGAACATTTATGGTTATATATGGATGAGCCTATACCTGGAGTAGAGTTAAATTAGCTGAAATAAAATTTTATTACCTTCTTGCCCCCTTGTGAAGTTGAAGGCTGTGGAAATTCAAACACAATAATGATCATTAAAACAAACAAACAATAGATCCTGTCTGCCAATCACTTATCAGCAACCAATTTAATCACTGTTAATGAAAATGTAGATATTAAAAGTAAAAAAAATAAAAGAGGCAAAATGATACTTATATAAATGACATTGTGGTCCATCTGCCTTTTCAAATAACATAAAATGATAGTTACTTCATTTTGTTAGCATGTAATTAAATCTTTTTTATTATTTCATTTCAATAACAAAGAATCAATTTTAAGCTTTCAAATTTCAACTTCAACTTATTACCCACAGCCATTTCTCTGTAATCATGAATTTTTCATAGGCAGATTAAGATTCAATAAAAAATAATTAAACTTAATTAAACTCAATCAACTTAATCAACTTTTTGTGTGAATTACATGCATCCAGCAGTCTGGATTCACTGTAATATATTTTAAAAGTCAAAAATACTACATTAGAAAAATAGCAAGTCTCTTACCTGCCCATCAGGCCGAATCTTTGTCTCCAGCCACTTCCTCAGTAGATCTTTAATAACCCCTTCATCCTCTTCTTTTAAAGGGTTTAAGCCCTTTAAAAAGCTAAAGGAGGATGATGTTAGCTCCTCCCTCTGTCTCTGGTGGCTAGAGGCTGGTGGTACCAACTGGTTATTGTTGTATTTTAAAATGACCTCTTCGGCAAGATTAAAGGTTTCATCTGGCAGTACTGCCAGTTTAAAAAGGTTTGTCAGCTTGGCATTGCTTCCATCCTAAGAAACAAACATGTTGCTTATAAGTTTTTTAATAATATTCTTCTCACCTTTTTTTCTGACCAGTTGTAGAATTTAAGAAAATAAATAATATAATACAGTTACAGAAAAAAAATGGACATGTACCACCTACTACAAAACACTGGTCACCACAGCACTCACCTCTATTAATTGGATAATTCAAGCAAGTTGTTAACCTTATAATCTTTTATCACTTAGCTGAAAACGTTCGACGATTTTTATGCCTTCTTTTATAATATAATTACCGCCTTGAGGCGGTCGCGATCAGCAAATGTAAATTTTCCATGTGAAGTAGACTTACTCAACTACAGTGCAATTAAGTTTATTAAACTAACATTAGCTCAAAACATTTTATAAATTTTAGATACCTTTGGAAATCAGAATCCTGTACTTACCACAGACTCGGAGTGTGGATTGAGTGAGATTAAAACTTACCTCCATCACGTCCGATGTAATTAACTTACCCATTTACAGTTTGTAAGCTTAGTAATTTACTAACTTTACCTATCCTTAATTTCTAACTAAACACCGAGCTAAAAGAGAGTCTTGTTCTTAGAAAAGCTGTTAATTCTCGAATACTGAGATGCACACCACATTGAACTTTCATGAAAAGTTCGGCTAGGCTACTCAGGATGGGCTCCTGGCGGAGGGTAAACTGGTCATCAGGGTCATTTGACAAACATTAGCAGGGGCGTAGCCACGATTTTTCCAGAGGTACGCACAATTTTTCAAATCTCCCTCCCCCCCCCAATTCCCCACTCCAAATTTGACCGGCAGAAGCACTTGCATAGAGGTAATCATGCTCTCCTTTGTCTACTGCGAAGCCAGGCTCTGGGTGAAAATAACGTGTTCACGTTTTATACCATCCCGCTAGTCTGCGAGCAAGCTCTCTGGGGCACTCTGACGGCGGGGCGCCTAACCATCCCGCCTTCTATCTGCGCGCATCTTTAAGTATATCATTCAAGATTCAAACGAAAACCGACTTCTGATGTGGGAGAAAAGAGTCTGTTGTCTTGAAAACCGACTTTCGTGTGTGAAAAAAACAAACAGTCTGTTGTTTTAGGAAAAATACTCCAAAGAATCAAACAGAGGTTATATTGTCGTTGTTGTTGTTTTAAACACATTCTCTTTTTTTAATCATTTTATTTCATTTTATTTAGTCACCCTCGACTTTTTCGGGTACGCACGTGCGTACCGTGCGTACGGGTAGCTACGCCCCTGATTAGGGACTTTAAGATCCGAGACGCGACGGCTGTAAGACGCGACAGGAAGTAGATTTTCAAAGAGGAGACATGTTGCGCATGCTCAAGCCGTTGTCCTGGTGTCACCACGTCGCGTCGAGAACGTGGGTTTTGCGAGTTTGACGTTCTGTACAAAACGTGAGTATATTTATATTTGTTCCTGTGCTTGAATTAAATGATGGTATATTCCTCTAAACATGTAACATCAGCCTTCTAGGATCATTGGACGTAATTTCTGGCGACATTTTAGATCGCAGAGATGGAAGGATTTTGATCATTTTTAAATTTCTTTCAGGTGTACGAAGCTTATAAAATGGCAGCGCCTTCGACTTCGACTTCGAGCGAGGCTTGCAAGTAAGTCACGAGCTAAAACTGGAAATAGTGAATGCTGGAGTCTTCTGCATACTCTTCTCGTCTCTTGTACCGTTGCAATTCGCGATTTATTGCGTTCATCTGCGGCTAAAAGCCAATTTTAAGCCTGTATTATTTAATTTAATTTTATTAAACTCCGTGTGTTTTTATGCTTCTCTTTAGTTCAGTAATGTTTTGGACTCATGATCATGAAGCCATTCTATGCAGAGAAGTCGTCAATGTAAATCCCTACACAACTAAGAAAGGGTCAACACAAAGAAGTAGAATGTGGGAAAAAATAGCAGACAACTTGAACAAATTCACTGTGCCGAAATTCAGGGTTGATAAGCGATCAGTCCGAGACCACGTCATCCTCGGAGACCCAGGGGCAGATAGTAGGGACGAGGGAAAGTGTAAACGGGCGGATAAATGTGGCACGAAGAAAAGTAAAGAACGGCGAGAAGAGCCCCTGGGGACAATGTCTTACCAGACCAGTTCCAAACGGTCGCCGCCGTTCTGGCTTCTGATTGGTGCCAGAAAAACACTTTGTGTTTTTCTGGCACCAATCAGAAGCCAGAACGGGGGCGACCGTTTGGAACTGGTCTGGTAAGACATTGTCCCCAGGGGCTCTTCTCGCCGTTCTTTACTTTTCTTCGTTCCATATATATTTTTCCGCCGGTTTACACTTTCCCTCGCCCCCTTTATCTGCCCCTCGGTCTCCGAGGATGAGACCACGTGGGAATCCTTGTTTAAAAGCGTAAGAAGAAACTACTAGCGGAGGAAAAAGCAACTGGGATAACTCCCGATGAGCCAACGGAACTAGAAAACCTCTTGGATATGATCATCGCGTTGGAGGAAAGTGGCGAAGCGGAATTACAGGAAACACAGGGAACAGCTAGCAAAAACGTCAATACGATCGGGCTAAAGTGAAAGATGTTAGACTAAAAGCGATGGAGAAGCTGTCAGAGACGAAGAAAAGAGGTTCACCAGAGGATGAAAGCGATGACAAACCGAAGCGTCAACCAAGAAGTGGAGGTGATGCTATCGAACAAAGCATTTCTTGGACTTTCTTAAATGATGCCATGGCTATTTCTGCGAAAGAATCGCCGAAGAATCAGACTGATAAAGAGCGGTTTGCAGCCGCGTCGTCTTGCATCGCGACAGAGATCTTAACTTTACTTTTCGCGCGCAAACGACGGCGTTCTACAGGTCCAGTCCTTTATCAGCCACCGCGTTCTAGAAGTCGTCGCGTCCCAGATCTTAAAGTCCCTATTATATTACATGAAAACGTTGACGACATGGAAAACTGGCGCCGGCTTCGATAAAACTTTTAAAACAACCAACGACAAACAAAACTCGACGATTTTTAACCACATGGAAAATCTCACTTTTTCAGAGGAAAACAGAAATAGTTTCGAATCAGTCAATCTGCGTCAATCGGACAAGTAAGCAAGGTTTTAGCTCAGGCTCCTCTTCTGACCACGGAAAAAAGATGATTGATGGTGGTAGCAGCGAACATGAACCTTAAAACACTTAAAACACTTCGTGCGAGACTTTTTAACTTATCTTAATGGAAAAAAGTAACGGAATAATATCTGCGAGAACGCCCGAAGAGAATGGCCAAGATTTTCCTCAGGTAAAAACTTCATGGCCAAATCTAATAAGAAACAATAAAACTGTTGTCTTCGGCCAGATAGCGAGATAGCTAGGGACGGTGACGAAATAAAACGAAGACGAAACAAGCAGAATTCCTGTCCAGATCTAATAGAACAATGCGAGCAAAACAAATTTGTGAGAAGAGCGCATAAATTTTCGGCATTTTTTATAGTCGATTTATGATAAATGTATTAACATGCAAAATAATCATTGTAAAGTAAGCCACTTCACTGGCTTCAGCTCAGCGGCTCAATACACGCGCTTAATACACTTAAACCGACATAAAAGTGTGACCGGCTTATTGAAGATTTAGGATCATCTCTGTGGTTAAACTGAATATTGCGGTTATAAACGCTTTTTTGGTGGTTAAAAATAGTTCATCTGGTTGATTCATGAATGGTAACCTATTCTGTTCATATTTTTCGAATTTTGAAAGCCAAGAG